CTAGCGCCAATCGTTATAGCGTTTGATGATATATACTTACGTTGCTGACGTCAAGCGCCGCGCTCGCGGAAACGCGAATCGATAGCTTATGGCGCGGTATCATTCAGTGAAATATTACTGTTATTATAGTAGTATGATGCCTTAGGAAACACATCGCGAAATTTTGATCTCAGATCTTCGCATTAACTAGCGCCTTATTCTGCGCGCGCGTAGGCAGACGTGTTAGGACAGATAAAGGTAGTAGTATTGACGGTATACGTTAGCTTGCCGAGGAGCCGTCGAAGCAGTGCCCTTGATTCGCGGCGCTGGCGCGGCGGAGTCGCGAAGGCACCACGGAGCCTCCTTCAAAGTGGCCGCATGGCCAATCACACGTATAAAAGCCATTTTAGACCGCCAACACGACTCAGGCCTAATAAAACGCGGCGGTTTTTAGTAGCGTCTGTCTATGGCACGGCCATACCTTTGCGTCTGCCAGTCTGCAGCCGCCCGGCGCGCGGCACAAACACACACAGCACGCGCGCGCACACACACACCACACACACACAACACACTACGCACACCACACGCGCACACACACATACACACACAACCACACGCACACACGGCCGCACACACACATACAACACACACACACACACACACACACACACACCACACACACACACACATACACCACACACACACACACACACACACACACAAACACACACCACACACACACACACACAACACACACACACACATATTATAATATATATGCTTAGGTATTGAAACCAACTTGTCTGGACCCTCTGCATGACCTTGGGGTGGCGAAACCTAGACAAAAAGCGACTGACAGTTCTTTCTCAGGTTGCACCAGCCCCAATCTCGGTGCTGCAGCTCGTCAGGTGTAACTGTGAGAAATCAAAGTGTTCGCGAAGGTGCTCATGCAGAGGAAACAATGTGGTCTGTACCGAACTTTGCAAATGTGGTGGGAAAAGCGACAGCTGTACGAACATTACACCACCAATGATTGGCGAAGATCTAGAAGATGATTGAAGCAATGACAACTAGTAACTCCTGATTCATACATGTAGCATTGTCGTACCTTTAAAAAAAAATATCCATTTTCAACTTATAAATTAAATTTTATATTGAACTACATCTTCTACATTATTTCTCTTAAGTGTTTTGGAGGATGGTAAAGAGTGTTCCAATCATAAATACGTTGTTATTATTGGAATCCTCATATGGCAACTGAAAACATATGGTTAGACACCAAAAAAATCTTCCAATGTCCATTGGTACAAACGTATGACATTTTACGTAGAAAAAGCCTGAAATATAGTGGCCATCTTAGATTTGTGCTATTTTGGAGTATATCGAGTGCTCTAATTTTGTTTCCAATGAATCTTTGATTCCTTTATATGAGTTTAAATAAAATAGAATAAATATTGTATGACATTTGAATGAATAGTTATGGTTTATTGGCAATTATTAAAAAAAAGAAGATTTTCCGTGATGGCCATTTTGAAATTCAAAATGGAGGCCCTAAATGTTAATGGAAAAACTGGCACCCATTTTTTTCTTAATCAGTGAAGTTTCTAGATGTGTTTAGACATGAGTGCCAAGAATCTACCCAAAAAAATGACAAATCTGGAAAATATTACATAAGCCCATAGACTAATAGGAAACTTGTTAAGATGATACCATGAAAATGCCACATCACCATAGATGTACATCCAAATATTAAGTGCCCTAATGTTTTAAATTAAATTTTAACCTAACTTTAACTTTAAAACTTATTCTTATCTCTCTAGAGAATTCACATTAGAATGTAATAAATTCTTAGACAACTTTAAGAATTGTTTAGGGTTCTTGTATTATTGTATTGTTTATTTAGCTAAGGTCTGAAGAACTGTAAATCTCATTGGTTGTGTTTTTGGCACTTAAAATTCTATTTTTTACTAGAATAAATGTATACTGTTGTGTATCAAATGAATGTTTTCAGGTGCTTGCTTGAGCTTCTTGATTTGATCATAGTTGAATAAAAAACAGATCTATTGAGTTTCCATTGAAACTAGACGTGTCTTTCCACTTAATCATAGAATTAGGATTAAGAATATAATAATAATAATAATAATAATAATATTTAATTCACACCACTACCAATTACAAAAAATCTTATTACAACAAATTTTATTAAACTGTAACCATTTATTTACTTCTGAAATGCCGCTGTTCCTCTTGTATCATATACGAATGTGATACGAGTGGACCGCATTTTACAGAGTCCCTTTACCGCTATTACAGCATAGGTGTATAGGTTATAGTTACCGCTATAATAGTATAGGTGTTGTCACTGTTGTACAACAGTAGAAGGCGTCCATGGGCAGCAAGCATGAATAAGCATCGAACAGAAATTAATTAAAAATACTCACACTGTTTCGTCGCATACACAACATACACCTTATTCATGCTAAATAACGACAGATTCATGCTCTATACTTTGCTCGAAACCTTTGCCAGCTCTACGATGCGTATTTCTACAGAGTAGTCGGATCCCGTTTCAAACACAAAAATCACCGACCGATCACTATGTCTACGCCACTTGCTGGAATGGCACAATTACACGACAAGAGCAATCTTACTTCTAATGCTTTCTAGACGTCCACGAGGCATCTAACTTGCGTGCATAATTCAGAGTAGTGCACTCGAGTGCCGAATTTCACACAAAAAAGAGAGGCATTTTTTAGGGGCCAAATAGTGAACAATTTGCGGTGAACAATTTGCGGAGGCTTACTGTTGTATGCGCATGCAGGCACTTGGAACGTCTCAATAAAAAAATTATGGTAAATAAACACGAAATGTATTTACTACCAAAGTCTTTATGTTTCTTTACTCCCTTTCGCCTATTATTTCCGTTAACTTCCTGTAAATGCCGTTCATATGCTCCTCTACAACACATGACACCGCACGCACGCCGCCATACACAAACAACAAGAATAAAGAACTAGGAGCATATGAACGGCATTTACAGGAAGTCATCGGCAATAATACGTGGAAGGGAATATTAAAGAAACATTAAGACTTTGGTAGTAAATACATTTCATGTTTACATACCATAATTTTTGTGTGTGAGACGTTACATGTGCCTGTGGTTGTATCAAGAGCGTATTAAGAAGGTTAAATAATACGCTTCTTGGTTGTATGCACCCTATAGGATACCTCAAGTACTGGACCCCGTGTTTCACAACTAGAAGGCGCCATCTGGCGTCGAATGTGCGTATGATATGCACCATAACAAGTTAATAAATACTACTATAGAATACTGTGGGCAGAAAAGTAACCTCAATAACTTGCCATAACCACGTGCATCAATTTTAAGCCCTTCCTTGCCTCTTTGAACATTTATTAATGAGGGTGATGTAATGCCTCGCTAATCAACCTTTATCGGTCATCATTACAAAAACATAGGTGTTGATATACAAACATATCTATCTTCACCATTACAAATTAATGTCGTTATACAAAATGCTAAGAAATCATTGGTTTGTATCTTGCTTTTTTGTTTATATAAATATTATAGATATTAAGAACGGTTGTGATATCTCTCAACATGGGGTATAGTTGCATCATATAACAGCAAATTGCCCTCAACCTATAAACCTGCAAATATATCCAACCGCACGCAAAAAGAATTCTAACTAGTTTTTTGTCGGCTAGTAAACAATGACAATTCAACTTATATTATCTATGTTGAAAACAAATATATGTTCTCATGAAGTAATATTAAGCCACAGAACCAAACCGTGAAATAATTGCCATATAAATATATCACATTATGTGCATGAAACAGCTGGTGGGCACGCGTTAACGTGTGTAACAAGTGTTTCGTACGAGAAATCTCCTCCCTTCCCCTCTTTACCCACACTCTCCCGACACCACACACGTATTGCGTATCAGTTAACAGCGCCTTTCGCTAATTATTTCGTCTGATGTGAAGCTAATTGCACAGCGCCTTCGTTGAGCTGCTTTTCACTGTGCGCCTGCTAAGGTACCAAGTCTTCATGGCCTGAGACTTGCCTTTCATCTTCGTCTCGCCTCGGTACGTTAGTTCGAACGATGGGTCCCAGTTCTCGGCTTGCATGATGGAACTGAATATAAATATAAATATAAATATAAATATAGGGGTAAATAAATATAAAATAAACATAAATATCAGTGTTGTAGGTCTCGAGGCAAATATAAATATAAAATTAACCATAAATATAAATAGTAAATATAAATAAGATATAAATATAAATATAAATATAAATATAAATATATGACCGAGTCGACCTGATAGTTGATAAAGGTGTAATAGCCCTAGTTACCATAGCACTGCACCACGCATACTTACCTGTAGGAGCTAGCGTTAAAGCCTGCGTTTATGCCGAAGTATCAGAGTAAGCTAGACTACTATAAACACTGCGTACTTATTACTAGCTAATGCGTGCTAGTATACTGAAGTAATCTGATTTGCTGGATGTGGCGGGTTCTCACATTTTCAAACATTTAGAAATGTTTCTTCTTGGTTTAACGTATTTGTGCCATTTTATTCCAACGCACGATCCGTGATACGCATTCAGCTTACTACGTAATCTACGTGACAACTACGTCATCAGCTTACTTGTAAGCATCCTCGGACACGTGATTCGGCCTTCTCTCCCGTCGTCTCCGTGCGGCTCGTCAGGTTGACGGTGTTACCGAAAAGACAGTATCGGGGCTTGCGCTTGCCAACGACGCCTGTCACCACCTCGCCCGAGTGAACGCCTATGGTGAGCTGCGCGAGGCAAATAAAGTTGCAGCTAAAATAAATACTCGCGCTGTATAGCATATGGGCGTAAACGGTGTGTATATACCATCACGAACACATGTGTAACATTTGTTTGTATTCACTCCTGCCATCTCACACACACACACACACACACACACACACAACCACACACACACACACACACACACACACACACACGACACACACACACACACACAAGCAACACACACCAACACCACACACACAACACAACACACACACCACACAGCCTACACAACATATATATATATATCAGTACTATGTTCAAAATGGACCGTAACACCCCTATATACATAACATTATCGGTTTTCCCTCCCCGCGAGTAAACGC